AAACTTAGTACTGTAACAAAATTATTTTCATAGCAACTTAAGCAATTTCTAACTTTATAAAAAAAATGTCTAGCTATCTAACATACTCAATTAACTGTACCATCTGGTTTAAATTCTTTATTAATGATTTTTCTTTACCAAATATTTTGATGGCTATTCTTATGTTTCTACATTATTTCATCAATTTATATTGCAGATTTTCTAAGGATTTTAATAATATATTCTACATATACAGCGAGACTTTTTCACTGTTATTGTAAGTAGTTACTGCTGACTACAGAATACAAATTTTTTAAAAATACCACTGATTTCAACAATAGTAGAACAAATGCAACTTCTAATATTAGCTTCCAATGATACCAGTTCTTCAATGGTCTTCAGCATTGTGGAGACAAATGACAGGATGAAACTAGTAACTTTGCATATGGCACAACTAAATGGTATTTTAAAAGTTTAAGGTAAAGAAGGGGACTAAAATAAGCAGATTCTGTAATGGAATATGTATGCAGAAATGGCATATTGACACAGTACAGGGCACTGTTGACTGGTAGTTGAAAGCATTCTACTTGCATAAATCTTCATTCCTAGATGAATTTTGAGTAGTACATATTGCTATGTGAAAGTAAAGCTAACCAACATGCATTTTACAAGTGAAGCTGCAGGCTAAAATGAAGTAGCACTCAGAGGAGAACAATTCTATCTGCAGCCTAATAGATAAAATGCCTATTGTTTGTGTAGCAATACATACCGCTCAAAATCTGAACAAGGAATGACAATTTATGGCAGCAGAATGCTTTTTATCTGTTACACAACAGCATACAGTACGACCCTAATGCATCATTTCCATATACACATTCCATTATAAAATCAGCTTATTTTGGTTCCCTCTACACCATCTTTGAATTGCCTTGTGTATGATGAATAACCTGTCAAAAAATCATATATCAACTTCTATCCAGAAGTTCATACTTCGCTACAGACTGTCAAGCAAGGATTCAAAAGAGACTGTTTGACATGTTTAAAAAGAAAATTTTTCTTGACCAAGATATTAATTACTACATGTCATTAAAAACAGCCTTCATCTGAAATTGACTTCAATCACTTTTATTCAGACTTCAGAGTTAACATTATTTTTATGTAATGTATTTTTAAAAGTATGTGAGGCAATTCTTAATCTCTTCTCAAATTTAAATGCACTTAACATTTTTTGTTTTTAGAATAATATATAATATTTTTTCAATAAAATAATGACTGAAACACAACTATGTCAATATTTTATTAAAAAAGTTAACTACTGCTAATTTATGTATAATATAAAATAAATTTCTCAACTTTATTTTTAGTGGGATATCAATTACAGAAACTTAAATATATATGTAAGTGCAATAAACCTTCTCTAAGGTGACCACTCACAGTTCCAAATAATTTTATTGTTTGGGAGTCATCAACATGTCATGAGAAACATTGCCTATCATGCCTAGTGATGATGACTGTCAATTTGCATAGCATGGCTGTGAACTCTCTCAGTTTTTCATCACATCTCCAAGTAGATCATTGAATCTGCTGGTTTTTAAATTTTAATCTTTACCAGCAATAAATGAAACATAAATTGTATGAATTTCAGCCTTTCCACCTGTAATGATTTTCAACATAATTTTCATTATTAAATGTTATTTGACCTGAACTGTCTTATTTTACTGTAGACATTTGTAGAACAATTCAACTAATTTTTAATGAGATAATATTTACATCAATATATAGCAAATAAATAGGTTTATTCATTCATTTATTCAATAATACAAACATTAATTATTAATCTTATTTAAAAGTAATTTGATAAATGAAGAATTTTGTCATCACTTGAATAGTAATCTGTTATACATTACTGGTTGTACAGAATGAAAAAAATCTGATGTGTACACCACGACTTCCTTCTACAGAATATTAAATTATACGCATTTTTTCTTGCATTTCCTTTAAACTTATTGGATTGAATTAAATCTACTTCGCCGACAACGCATAAACCACAATTGAATAAATGCATTCTTTAAATTTCACTCGAATTGTTTACCATAACGACACTCTGGCACTAGGTTCACTTAACAGTATTATATTTCATTCATATTATAACTCAGAATGCACAAAATTTATATCATTTAAAGAATTATCTAATCGTTGCCACATGTTCTATTCCAATAAACTATAATGAAGCTAAGAACGATGTATAAAAGAAATTAAGCAAGCAAAACAAAACAAAACAACAACAACTAAAAAAAAAAAAAAAAGAAACAGTTTTTTACATTGACGATTGAGTATTTCTCATTCAATGAATTTCAGTTCTCAACTTCGCGACAAGGCAAAAATACATAAAAAGTCTAAATATCTGTATTAAAAATTACGAAGTAAATCTTAAACACTTATTTCCCTCGAAAAAATTCCAAAAAGGAATTAAGCATGGATTTAATTCGGCAATAATAAATGAAGCCGTACTATCTTTGTTGTTGCGAAGCTAAGTTTCTCTAGATTGGCAACAAATCCACTATCCTGCTGTTTCAAATGTAAACAAGCAATGGCCGCCATCAAAAAAATTATTAGGCTTAGAGGCACTTAAACAACTTTAAAATTGTTGATAAATCATTTTTAAAGCAAAAAATGTACAATTTACAAACATATAAGAGTAAAGAAATTGAGATCACTGAGCCGGGTAACAGAGTGGATATATATATAAATATATTTATATATGTTTGGTGTGGCCGATTGCAACCAAAATACGAGGTGCACATCTACATATCATAGCAGTCTTATACATAAAATTTCAACGCTCTGAGGCTACTCGTTTTTGAGTTATGCGAGATACATACTTGCATACGTTCATACAGACGCTACGAAAAATTCTCTTCAGAATTCATTTTAAAGCAGTTTTATAATTTTTTTGGAGGAAATGAGTCTTTTATTCTGTCCTTACATACAGATATCACGCAACACTGTTAAATTGCATTGGATAGCGGTCAAAATGGATATTTTCGTTGAAATATGCTGCTTGAAACTTTTCACGATTACAATACTTCCTTTTTACTTAGTACAAGGAAGTAAAAATAATATAAACAGCTTAGGAATATGATGAATAGATCATACTCCTATTAAGAAAGACTAAAAATGTATAACTTTTGCTTTTAATTTAAAACAATTTTCCTTTACTGGAAACATTGAACATGTAACTATTAAATTTGTTTAATACTATATATTTGATAATCTAGGTCAGATTAGGGATCGGTCATCTTAAAAAATGCATCTCAGAACTACATGTACAGACTTTGAAGGGAGGTAGGGAACATTAATATGAACCATATATTATACACATATATATACTTAGAAAATATTACTGGAAATGGATAAATGGTACTGTATGGCAGCACTCCAGGTGAGCACAAGGTGCTTCCTGATTAAAAGTTGTGCCACTGATGAAGAACATGCATCATTTTATGAACACTGAGTGTACAAACCTAATACAGTCAAAAGTCGTTAATTCGGACACCCATAATCCGGAATGATCTATAATCCGGACCTCAAATCTACAAAATTTCTGCGCATGCCTCACTGACGCATGCGCGTAAGACCTTTACGGCTGCGAATATGCGTGTGCGCATGCGCATAATACGTTTACGCAAGCGCGTTTAATGTATAACGGACGGTATAAGCTAAGCTGAAATTATCTAATTCAGGTAATGTTGCAGATTGCGTTGTTCCTTAATCTTCGAATTGGATCCGGCTTATTATTTTTTGCAGACTGTTACAGCAATTTTATAAAAGTAAGCTTGAACTTTCGATTATGTCAAATAGAATTTCCGATATATAATTACTAATATGTAAAGGATCTACAAAGCGAAAGTATGTTTCGAACTCCATTAAACCAAAAGTGGAATTGCTGCAAAAAATGGATAAAGGCATATCCTTTGATTATCTAATCATTCCGAAATATGTTTATCAATTTCACCGCAATGAATTGGAAGTTGATCTGTCAGCACTATCCTTATCTTCAGGGCAGATGTTTTTATTTTATTTGTCTTATAATTCCTTACTAAATGCAGTATTTTATCTCCATGTACTCCGTCTTTGATATGATTTAAATCAAATTCCTCCTCATTATAATTCGCTTCCGATAGTGAAGAAAGTGACACAGAGGTTATTGAAAACGGAAAAATTTCGATTGACAAATTAGTCGGTATTCTCGACACAGCAATTATAGGACTTAACCAGCGGAACTTTGTAACTGAAGAAGAAATTATGTCTGTTTATAGAATTAAAGAGAAAGTATTATCACACACATAAAAACAAAGCAACTTAAACAACTTACATTGAAAGAAATGTTTTAATAATAAAAAAAAAAACAAATAAATATTAAGCTTTTTTTTTTTTTTTGTCAATTTTGATATCCTTTAGATCATAATTGTTCTTTATTTCATAAATTACGGTTTCATATTTTTAATTTTATAACTTCTGCATGCCATCTTACCAGATTTAAACTGACGATCTATAATCTGGAAAAATCGATAATTCGGAATCGCCGAAGTCCCGACGAGTCCGGATTAAAGACTTTTGACTGTATTTTTAAAACATAAAGCACTGGATTGAACATAAAGGTGCTGGTGTACAACACTAGTTATCCATTTCTGGCTCTGCTTTCATATGTGAATATGATTCATATTGAAGCTCTCATCTGCCCTTAATGTTTGTTTATAAAATTTTGAGACACTCTGTAGCAGATCATTGAATATTGAACATCTATGTAGTAGATTCAATACTTTAAATCTGATAATAAAAATTATGACTTTTTGCAATATTAAACAAAATTATACAGTTTGAAATATTGTTATAAAATTTGGACATTTTTGTAAAAATACATGATAAAATGCTTTCTTTTTAAAGTATCATTTAAAAAACTTTTGTTTGTAAAATGGTAAAGGTGCATCTGTAGTTACAACAAAAGGAAAACAATATGGTTATTGGCAGTAAGGTTAGTTTATTTCACTTTAAAGTAACAAAAGTGTAAAAGTGAAATAACTTAATTGGCTTTTATGGATGTTGAGCTTTCATCTCCACCAAACATTTTAAGAGCTTCAACTACAATGTCGTCAGTAGATGTCTTCCCACTAGCAATGAGTTCCATTACTTGATCCTTCAAGCAGAAATCCAAGAGTATTTGAATGTTTTTGCGTAGACGATCAAGGTCAGATATTTTTCCGTCGTCCAATATTGGTGTCTGACCCATTTGCTGCAAAACATTTATAAGAACATCATCTACAAGTTGTTCTCCATAACCTAACCTCTGCATTAGTTCTGGATCAGATATGAGAATGCACAACAACGATGAAAAATTTTTTCGTAGTAAGTCAATAGAATTTTCTAATCCTTCGTCTTTTTTTACGTTTGACATAAATATGGATGAATTATTTTCCTCAGTTATTTCAGTTTTGTTGATAATGTCAGAGAAAGAACTGATTATTACGTTATTGGTAAAATCTAAAGATTTTGCAGCCATGTTGAGTTCTTTGACAGAAAAAAGTTTGTCTGGGAAAGTAGAACAATCTTGTGATACATCATTAATTATGTCAATAGCAGAATGATTAACATTTGATGATTCACAGCATTCATTTTTGCCTGAAATGTCATTAACAGGCCCGTTTAATGTGGTCTTAGAATTTTGGGATAATTTATGGTGCATTTCCATATGGTCAAAAATTTGCTGCAAATTATTAAAAGGCAAATTGCAAGTAATGCAGCCTGCCTCTGCAGTTTTGTCTTTTAATGCACATTTAATATCATTTATATTACTTGAAGTATCTTCTGTGTTGCAGTTATAAACATTTACACTGCAAAAATCTTTATGTCTCTGAAATACATCAATAGAGCGAAATAAACAGTTGCATAAAAAGCAGTGGATAGTTTCTCTTTGAATAAAATTTTGTTCATCAATATTGGATGCTTCAGAGACAGAACTACAGTCTTGAACAGATGTTTCCAAGTGTTCTAACATATGTTCAAAGTAGGCATCAAGTTTGACAAAAGGCAAGCCACAAGCGATACAACCAGCAATAGCACACTGTAATTCAATAGCAGATTTTACAAGATCAACATTATTTTGCTTATATTCAGCATTACTATAATTATAAGTATATTTTTTGCAAGAACTCTGGTGAATTTTATATGCATCTAAAGCAAACAGACAATTGCAGTCAGAACAATGAACTGAACTTTCATTCTCAAAAAATTCTAAAGGTTTTTCTAATTCTTTTTCATTGGATTTTATGTCTAAAGCACTGTTATGCTCTTTCATTGGTTCATTATTTATTTCACTACCTGTATCCATTTTCACCTCTGTGGATGATCTCATTTTGCAAAATTTCCTAACATGTACATTGTAGTGAGACTGTGTGGTAAAGCCTACATTGCAGTTCTCACAAGTAAACAGAGGCTTCTTAACTCCACCAATAACAACTTCTTGCTGAAAATCTTGACCTTTTTTAGAAAATGATTTCTTAGCTATTTGTTGTCCAGTTAATCTGTCAGGCTTAATAGGATCATTTTTACCTGCAGTTGTAATTGAGGTGTTTTTCTCGCTAGATGAATCAATTTGTAAATGCCAAAACAAATGCATCTGAACTTTTGAGTGATTGTCTATAACATCACCACATATTTCACAGGAATATGGATTGGTGTCACTAATATCCAAGTACTTTCTTCGAAAACTGAAATGACTCAAACGGTGTGGCACAAAATCCTTAATTGTTGTAAATTCTTCCAAGCATTCTGAACAACACAGAATTTCAGGTTGTTCCGTGCTTTTCGGAAAGGGTGGTAATGAGGGCGGTAAGTTTGATAAAGACTGATGCACAGCATCAAGACTCTTTTCTAATGTATCTCGATGAAGCTTAGACTGACGATGTCTTTGCAAACCACATAGCTTTTGAAAGCAGATTTTGCATGTGTCACAATAATATTCTAAATTCTTTTGTTGCAATTCACTATTACTAAATTTCTCTAATTCTTCTCGTTTTCTATCATTTGCAAGACCCAACACTTGATCCTGAATCACACTGGGGTTAATATTTCTGATTTGTACATAACTGTTTGGATCGCTGTGAGGATGGCTTTTCAAAGCATGCTGTAGCACAAGTAAGGAAGTAGTAAACCCAATTTTACATTCACGGCACTCATATTCCAGATAATTATTGTGACACTGCTGCATATGGCGCACCATACTGTCAGATTTACTGAAGCTTGTGGGACAAAACTTACATTCTAATGATGATTTCAAATGGCTTTCTATAAAATGCTTATTGCGAGTAAGAGTTGATGTATAATCTTTCATGCAAATAGGACAAACTGTAGGATACTGTGTCAGTTTGACTTTCACTGCAAGCGGTATAGAAGAGTATTTTGTTTTATCAGAATAATTTTCTTTTCTGCTGGAATAGTCACTACTACTGCAAGAAGTATTAACATTTGACTGATCTAATGAAGATTGGTATTTTACAGCAGAATTAAACATTTGAGAAGGATGCTCTATTTTTACATGCTGCTGTTTGACCAATTCTGAGACAAATATCTGAGAACATATATTACAAGTGCTGTTTTTCAAAAATAATTCAATGTCATCTTCGGATCTATCAGCATGATTTCGAAGATGTGCATTACGAGCTCTAACGTGAAAAAACTCCTTTTCGCAAAAAGGACACTTACAATTCACACTAACCGATTTTGCAGCTTTACCCCAATGATTTAACTTTTTCTGATGCTGAAAGAAATCAAAAGAATCACTGAATTCTTCATAGCAGACAGGACATTGATTAATAATATCTATATCTGCAGATGTTCGTAATTTCCCTCTGCTTTTTTTTAAAGAATGATTCAGTGTTTTCCTGGCTGATCTTTCTGAATGTTTGGGGGCTATACTTGTATAAAACTTACTTCTGTAACTATGAGGAAAAGATTTTCTGGCAAGAACAGGTGTAAGAGTTTTTCTAGCTGTAAAGGATACTTTTGTGTGTGTAACAAAAGCTGGGTTCTCATAATGAGCTTTAGCACATATCTTATTCTTTTCCAGATGTTTGAGTAGTAGTTTTTTTGTAGGATATAAGTTCTTGCAACTCAAACACATAAAATCCAACTGGCTGTCTTTAAAACCTGAAGCAATATATTTCTCTCGCTTTTGTTTAAAAAATGAGTTAATCTCATCCCTAAAGATAAAATTATTAGGTAGTTGTTTAGTACTAGTCCTCATTCCCCATGTATTATTACGAGATTTTATAATTGTTTTTCGAGCAGAATGATATTTTTTCTGGAAGCTCTTCAATGTGCATAGCCCATTAGGAGCATGCAAATTGTACTGCAGTAAACTACTAAACTTTTGCAAGCAAGTAGGACAGACAACTGAAGATTCTTTTTTAAATCTGTTAGGAGACTTCTTTGTATTCCTTAACTTTCTTTTATGCTGTTTCTGTCGAATATGCTTAGCTTTCTTCCGATTACACTTAACACAAGCTTTTTTGTGTTTCCATAATAAAGAATAGAAACTGAATTTCCTTTTGCAATAACAGCAAATTATTGATGGTCCAAGCAATTCCCCTTGACATTTGTATTTATGTTTGTACAGAACTCGTAAACAGAAAGTTGCAAAGCCACATTTTCTGCATATTTTTTCTGTCCTTCCAATGAAGTTATAATGTTTAGAACGAACAGATGTATCTTGTTTAGTTTTTTCCATCATTTGTTGCTGGAAAATAAGAAACAAAATTTAGATGGAACACAAAAGTTTCATTTCATGTGCATTTTAAGTTAACACTTTAATTAGTTGAAAACATATTTCACTCATTAATTTAAAAAAAATTCTTTCCCCATATATGTGTACTCATATCTCTCTATGCATAAGTGCATAAATTTATAGTCAATAAAAAGCAGTAGTAATATTTATAGTTTTATAGCTCAAAGGAAATCAAAATCACAGATAACAAGTTTATTACTATAAGTTAAAAAACATTCTCAGCTAAGCAAAACTGGATGTTAGATTAATTTACACTCATGAAAATATGAATTACAGTTTTTCACAGCACATACATAGATAGTTATTATGTGTATGGATGCATATCTGTAGTTAAATCCTAATTTAATTATTTTTCTCAATATAAACAAATATTTCCATTTTTCCTACAAAATTTAAACAAAACATCAATTTAACTGCTATACATTTTCTTCTAATTCTAAATTTCCCTTCTTGAAACTAAATTTTAAGAACTATTTTAAGCATAAAGAATATATGAAGCTTGTTTCATGTAAATCAGAATTATGCCCTCTAATATTACTTTCTTACTATCAAATGTACAACTGAATAGCAGTCTGTGTATGTGGGAATAATTCAATCACTTAAAATGAATTAAAGAAAACATCTACCTTCTTTGCTCTCATAAATGGGCACGGGTAACTGACATATTTACGTATCCTCAAGTATGATTTGTGCGACACTAAAAATTGTGCTGTTAAAATTTATGTGAGTATATACTGCTAAGGCACTTTCAAAATTTATGCACAAACTTGCACACATGAGGAGACACTTCAGTGTGCATAATTATTATTCCAGAAAAACTATTCAAATGTTAATTATAAAATAGAATATACTTTCTTGGGGGAGGACAAGCCTTAAAAAGTTCCAATATACAGAACAAAGTCTAAGACCTGGACTCGTTGGGGCTCAGAGATTATGGATTTTGGATTTTTCCAGATATTAGATGCTATTCATAAAACAAAAAGATTATTATGAAATACTTTCTTGGTGTGGGGACAAGCCTTAAAAGGTTCCAATATAACAGAACAAAGTCCGAGATCTGGACCTTATCCCATTATAAAATGTTGTGAATCATGAAAAATGGTGAGAGTGCTGCCAAATACACATTAATCCTTCTGGCAGAAGTTTAAAGGAAGAAGATCATTATTTATTTAATTAAAATCATAAGCTTCAAGTCAGACATATTGTACAAAAACATAAACTGATATCATAATTTTTCATGTTGCATCGGCATTGCTTATTCATTTTCAAATAAAGTCATCTATAGTTCTCATTAAAACATTTTTCTTTATGCCAGTATCCCATAAGAAAATCTTATGATTGTGTTGTGACATCACACTTTTACATTGCTGCTAAATCACATTACTTGAGTTTTTTGTTTGTCGAAAAAAATCAATAGAAATGTATGTTAAACAGCAAATATTTTAAATAATTACAAGACTTTTTCCCAAAATGCATTAAACTTTAGTGACCGCCCCTTCCAAACTAAACATATTAGTGAACACTGTATACAACATTTTAGACAAACTAAAAGCCTACTCTAAACGTTGGAACTTTTCATATGCTTCTATACCATAGCAACAAAGAGTTTCTAGTGGAAGTTTCCATTAGAAGCTCTTTGACAGTGTTCTCCATTTTTCATTCTATGACATGTATCCTATTCCAAGTATGAATTCTTAGAATGGAGAAAGATTCCTTGGAATAGAGAAACATGATGGATACAATGATAAAGGGGAAGGTGCGTCTTCTGAAAGACAGCCATGTAATTTTATTTGCATTTTAGAAGTTATCAGTGGGATTTCAATAGTCCTGTATGTGCTTTCTGATGATTTAACAAGTCTCCCATTTGCTTAATTTTTTTGGGGGAAAGGATGTTAAAAAAAAAAAAAACTGAAATTATAAACATTTTCCAGTTAGTTGAATGACAGATAGCTTTTACTGTAATTCAAGGACAGGATTCGTACAGTTCTTAAGTTTTTTTTAATCGATTTTTGGTCCTTAAAAGTCCTTAATTTTGGACAAAATATGACGAAGGTCCTTAATTTTAATCACCTGAAATTTCTGTCTTGTTTTTATGACTGCTATTTTGAATGCGAATTATCATTTTGGAGGAATATTTTTGACGATTCACCGACAAATATGATTATCTTTTGAAATGGATTTATAATTTGTTCCTATTTCTAATACAAAGAGTGGGTTACTGGAGTTTCTGAGCAAGGATTCAGACATAAGCATTTTAAAATTATTTCATTTTGTCTAATGAAGAGTTCTTAAACTTTGGGGATGCAAATTCTTTTATTAAACGGCTCTAAATTTGGCTACTTCATTTTTTTAAATTTTAAGGTCAGTTTCTGTAGAAAATTTTTAATTCAGAGATCTGGAAATTTTTCGAAGATTTTTTTTAAACATTATAACATTGATAAATAATTAAAATAATGGTGTATATATTTAAGGAATAACATTAAAATAAAACATTTTTATTTATTTTTGCTATTGTATTTTAAAGTGACATTACTTTCCATTTTTGTACCTTATTATACAGTATTTTGAATCTGAAAAATAAACAACATAATAAATGCCATAAGGCACCATTTAAAAAACAATTCATAGCAAATACAAAATAGCTATTAATTAATTGAAAATTTCTTCCTTTTAATTTTTCATGATAATAATTTTCTTCCTGTAATTGTCTCAGAATTTAAGAATTGTCAGAATATGCATCAGTTTTCTCTATAAAATTACTTTTACACTTCCCCCCCCCCCCCCACTGATGTTTTTTTCCCAAAATATTTCTAGTTTTTTTTTTTTTTTTCCTGTTCCAGAATTGGTAGGGCTAATTTTTCTTTAGGATTTTAAACATTGCAACTTAGAAAGTTTAGAATAATTTGAAAGCAAGATTTATAGACCCACAATTCTTAGAAGGATCCAGAAAAATGTGACAAAATGAAAAATGTCTTTATTATATTAGCACATAATGGATTTATTTTACAGAAAGTTTGTGATGAATTTCTTACATTTTGGAGAATTTTTGGAAAGACAATGAAAACATAATGTTTAAATGTTGCACTTCTGATGCTAGAAGTCTTTTTCTTAACATGTTTACCTTGCCTTTATTTTATCAACTTTTCACTAAAACACAAGTAAGTAAAATATCAGAAATGTTTCTAATCTTTTCGCATGGGCAGGCATTTGTAAAAAAGAATTTTTCTAATCATAAAGAAATTGAAAAGTGACAATTTAAAAGATTGTCTCAATGAATCATAACACACGGCTGGTACTAGGCATTTTCCACCTGATGCAATCTCTGTGGATCCTAAATTCGTCTAGTGTCTCCTTAATTCTGCTTCCAATGCCTGTCCTAAATTCTTAAACATTTTACAATTTCTAGATTTTGTTGTTCTGTGTGTCAATAAATTCCAAAAATTCTGCCTCATCGGCTCTGAAACTAGTTCTTACTATGTATCATTTCATATTTACTCTGATGCATTTGGTTTTCTAGAATAACATCTGTAACTTCTCCTTTCCATTTCATCGCCATAACGCAAATCAGATAGTTTTTAAACTGAGGTTTTGGGATTATAAGGCAGTGTTTTTGCCTTACACTTGGATGTTGCCTTAGTTCATGCCAGCTCTGATAATTTGTAATTATCCATCTTTGCGTTATCGCAGCTAACATTTGAATTTGTTATGACGGTAGAGTTACTGAGACAGCTTAGATTAAAATTAAATTGTATAGTCTTTGACTACTAATTCATATTTTTAGTATGAATTTAATGTTACTGTTTAATTGCATCACCACAAGTTGTAGTTGATTTTGTCAACATAAGAATGTGCCTGTATGTTCCAAGTTCTTTTTAAATAGGTTTGTTTAAATGTTTATGTTACTTTGTAGTTATTTTAGAGATAGCAATAATTTGCTTTATGTCTATCAAATGTTTTAGACTATTTAACTTTTACCAGATCAAGTAAAACATCATTAAGTACACTGTTAAGAGATTGGCAAGTTAGGAGATAAAACATGCATAAATAGTGGGAACATTGGTTTGTGTATTGAAACAGATTTCTAATTGTTAGAAAAAATGTTTAAAGACAAGAAAATTGATATAAATTAAGCCAAAATATATGGGAAGGCTTCAAATTAAAAAGACTCATAAATATTTTGTTGTGTGTTGTTGCTACAAAACAAGTGTTTTGTAGCTTTTAATGTGTAATTATCCTAATACTGTTTTAGAATCAATATTATAAATTGCATTCATTTTAAACTGTGAAATGTTATTAGATTATGATTCTAATAGTGCTTTTTTTAACAAATGATTTTTAAAAAATAAATAAAATTTAATAGTGGCCATGTAAATCTGTAATGACTAAGGGTATTTAACTACCTAATTGTTTGTAACTAACCACTCACCTTTAAAAGTTATATCTGCATATTAAAGCAAGTTATTGCCTTTCATGAATCCTTACTGTGGTCACAAGTTACTGCACAAAAATGTAAAAATTCATGTAAAACTTATTATTTGCATCTAGTGAGACTTAAAATAATACAAAACAACTCATCACCTCTGGTGCATTAGTGTCTTATTATAATTTTAAAATATATCAGGAACTCTACATGAAATTATGACACTAACTGCATCAGACAGACCGAGCACAACTAACATTCAAAACTTGACAACCATGCCTATATCAGGCTTTCAGGTTTGTTCTGATGAACATGTCTTTCTAAGGCAAGCAGCAGCACTGACAACAGCCAATCTTTTGTTATGAATCATGCTGATTATGATTTTATTTCTCATATTAAACTATGCCATTTGACATAAAATCTACCTGCTATTTATTTACTGAACCTGTAGACTAAGTACATGGAAAATGAGACATAAAAGTAAAAATGAACATAAAGCTACTGTTAGTAAAATGTAAACAAAATGTCTCTA